GGACGCAGCACGCGCGGCCGCCGCGGCTCCGGCGGCGGCGCGGGCGCCGGCGTCGCGTGGCCTCGGGCGGCGCTGGCGCCGCCGTTGAAGCTGCCGCCGGCCTCCCCCTGGCCCTCAGACCCGGCTGAATCATCCTCATCTGCCTCCTCCTCCTGATCTTCTTCGTCCTCTTCGTCTTCCTCATCTTCATCTTCATCGCTACTATCATCCTGCCCCTCCCACTCTGCTCTGCCCGTCGGGCCGAACCCTGCCCAAACGCACGCCAGCCGCGCCACTGCCTCCGGGAACTGCTCGGCGATTATAACCTCGGACGAGATCAAGGGGTCCGCCGCGATCGCCTTGGGGTCGGCCTCGGACGACGCGCAGACTTCTTTGAGGCTCGCGGACGGCGCGCGCCTGAGCCGCGCCGCCGCCGCCGCTGGCTGCGGCGACGGCGACGGCGGGCGCGACGGGCGACGCCCGCCGGCCCCGCTCGGCAAGGCGAGCAGGGGCCGCCTGCGGTCGCGCGGATGCGGGATCGGACACGCGTGCGCTCATGCCGGCCAGCTGCTGAATGGCTTGAGAGCTCGCGTGGAAGCCGCGTCGGCCTCAGACTCTCGCCCCCTGTCTCATACGGGCACCCCTGAAGCAAGGCGCCGTCCACCCAGCCCCGACTACCTAACATATCACAGTGAGTTTCGGGTGTGCGCACGGCCCCCTACCTCCCACCTGTCTGACAGGGCGTAAAACGCGTCCTCCACCAGCGACAGCACCCGGTTGGTCTGCCGCACGTGGGTGTCGGCCGCCAGCCGCCCAAACTGCTGCAGGCTGAGCACCAACCTGGGACGGCCGGCAGGGGGGCCGCGCGCGCGGGTGCGTCCGAGGTTGGGAGGCCCGGGGCAAGTTGATCGGCCCAAATGGGGTTGCGACACAATCTGCTGGCCGATCGCAGCTGAGAGCTTTAGGTCGCGCCCCCGCGGGACGCTGCTTTCTTGCCCCTTGCTCGCTCCGTACGAGACGCGCACCCGACATGCTGCCGTACACCACACACACTTCAACTGCCGGAGTGCGCCTCACACGCACGCGCTGCAAGAAAAAGTTTCAGCGTCCTAGTCAGTCTTGAGTCCCTCCCAACAAGTCATCACTGTAGTGGAGACGTGCCCCGCCCACCTGTCTGCTATGACGGCCACCTGGCCCAGCGCGGCGTACCACTCAAAGACCTCAGCCAGGTCACCCTGCAATGGAAGTTGCGGGGGCAGGAGGGGGGGCGAGGGTCGCGCGTCGACAAAGTTTGAGGGTCCAAGGTTCAAAGGCTCAGACAGGTCACCCTGGCAGCAGCAGGAAACGGGGGGGGGGGGCGCGAGGGTGGCGCTTCGCCAGCAGGTTTTGAGGGTTCAAGGGTTTCAATTCTTGGGCTGCTTGGGTGCCCAGGGTGGCGGGCTGAGGCTGCTAGAGCGCAGCTGGGGCTCGAGCGTTCCACAGCCGTCGCAGGCGTGGTGTTCGTGTGCACAAGGTGTCGCGCCGCCCGCCAGGCTGTGTGGTTCACCGGCGGCAGAGGGACCTGCGCGCCGCGAGCAAGCGCCAAGGGCCGCGCGCGTACGCGCCAGACCCCCCCCCCCCCTTGTGCTGAGGGAACCAAGTGCGCCCCACGAGCATTTTGCGCGTCCAAGGGCGGCAAGGAGAGCAGCGAAGCAAAACACACAATCAAGACAACGACAGGAAAGCCAGGCCTCAAAGTCCGGGATCGGAGGTGCCGTGCTTGCTGCGAGTGCAGGGGGTGTGCATCACACCTGGACGGTGCGCATCAGGGCGGCGACGGCGGCCAGCTGCTCCGCCCCTTGGGCGTCGCTGACGCTGTCAGGCAGCAGGTCAGCAATGAAGAGCTGCCGCCACACACACAGGACGGGATTGTGAAAGGTGGTGATGATGAGGAGGAAAAATCGGCAGGTCAGTGTAGATTCAGGGATTGCTCCGTTTGGCTGCTCCGAGGATGCGCGGGTTTTGTTTTGGAAGGCAGAGGGCCAGGGGGGCCACGTGACCCAGATCGCGCGCGGCGGATGAGGGGCGCTGCTGCAGGGCAGAGGCAGCTGTCGAAAGCCCAATTTAAATCGCAGAGGCAAGCTAGGCGGTTGTGAGTCTCGCCGCGCCCCGCCCTGCACCGGTCGCGCACGTGCGCCTGCCTCCCCCCATGCGCCCCCGGCCACGCCCCCACCTGCGGCGGCGGCCGGCTGCCCACCGGCGCCGGCGGCGGCGACGACGGCCTCGCAATCACCGGAGCAGCCTCTCCGCTTTCAGCCGAGCGCCGCCGCCCGCCCCCGCGCCCAGGCCCTGCACTCTGCTGCAAGCCGCCCGGCCCCAGCCCGGCCGCCCCCTCGGACTCCCCTCGTCCGCTGCCGCTGCTGCTGCCGTGGCTGCCGCCCCCGCCGCCGCCGCTATCACTGGCTGCGAGGCCCGCGCGGGTCGCGGCAGCTGCTGAGAAGCTGCCAAAGGCGACGACCCTGCGGAGGGCAGGGGCGCGCGGCGGCCGCGCTCATCTCATGCGTGGCTCCTGAATCTATTGGCTGCCAACATTCAGGTTATGTCATCTACGTGCTCGTTGGCGCACACGGGAATCATGCGCTGGATGTCTCTGCCGCCGTCATGGCCCCGTAGCTGTGGCAGCGAAGTCGGTGCATGCGGGCCCATATGTTGCAACTGAAATCCCCCCCTCAGCTGACTCAGGCTTATGCTCCGATCTCGTCGTCGTGGCAAAAGGCGTTACACATCGGCGCCGCGAAATCAATCCAGCCGCCAGAGCAAGCTTCAACTCACCTGCGAGGGGGGGCGCCGCCGCCGCCGCTGCCGCCGCCGTCGGACGCGGACGCGCCCCGCACCGCCTGCCCGCCCCGCTTCTGCGCCCCGCCGCCGGCCGCGCCGCCGCCGCTGGAGGGCTGCCGCGAGTGGTGCCGGGCCGAGCCGCCCTGCGCCGCGGCGGCACCCCCGGCCCCAGCGGCCGCGGCAGACCCCTGGTGCAGCAGGCCGCCTGATGAGCCGCCGCTGGCGCTGCTTATGCGACTCAAGCCCCCTGCGGCAC